TAGATATTAGATGAGGCTTGCTGCAAACTTACTTGGTGCTCCACAATCAGCACATAAATTATTGCCTCGTGTGTTGCGCATGGTGGGTATTGTATCGGGATCTGTGGCAGACATTTTCTTCGTTTTACAGCTCTCGTTCCCCTGTAGAGCTGAGAATATCTGCTGTTCTATTGCTGAGATCCAGTCGTCTCTCTCCTGAAAAACCAACCAAATCCATTCAAGTCACAGATTACTGTTACTATTCCAATGATGTGCATCACTTCTTTGGTGCTTGAGTGGAAAAATGATTTTGAAATAGTTGATCTGTAGCATTACTTGTTTTAGAGTGCTCACTGTCTTATGTTGAGCTAATATAGTGAATTCATCCGGTCATGATTATAATTTAACCTAATCAAGATGGAGACCTACATTTAAATGAAAACACCATTCTTAACAAAAGGCTTATAAAGCATGTCTGTTGTTCAATCTGACTTTTTGTTTAATCAGTAAATATTATTTGAAATGAAATGTTAACACTTTTGAACTCAACCTGGCTTTGAAGCTTAAGTTTTCAGCTTTTGTGTGTGTGAGGCTATTGATAAACAATTTAAAATGATTTCTTCTTGTGTAACAGAACATCAGGTGTAGTTTAGTAGAGTTCTGCATGGTAACACTCCCCAAGGTGTTACTTACCTCATGATTGTTGGCCTCAAAATGCCACTGTTTATTTTCCAGGGACACTATCATAAACTCATAACCATCAGATTCTGAAATGAATCATTAAATCGTGAGATAATTGTTACACTGACATCTTGATGAAGGTCACCTGTGAGATAAATGTTACACTGACATCTTGATGAAGGTCACCTAGGTTTGACACAAGTTTTATTTAACAAATGTGACATAAACACAAATCAACTGGAACAATGGGCAGGACATACATTACATCAGTTTTATCCTGTAACAAGAGGCCCATAGGGCCTGTATCGCTCACCTTGATATCTAAGCAATCATGGCAGAATATTCTCCAAATGAGATCCAAGGGAATATGCCAGACCCCAAGGCCAATCCTTGTAGCATATATATCTGTATTCAATTTTTCATGCCCAGCAATTTTATGTATGGTTATGGGGTGGGGATCTCAACTGTTTCCAAGCTGTGACGCAGAAACTAGGTCCCTGCGGTCGTGGCCAGACATCAGGATCAATTCTAATATCATGACTGCATTTGTCTCTTTTTGCCCAGCATTTGTATATATAGTTTTGGGGTGGGGATTTCAACCGTTTCAAAGTTATGACCCAGGGGTTAAGTCTGCAAGGGTGGGGCAAACCCTGGCGTCAATTCTAATATCATGACTGCATTTGTCTTTTAAGCCCAACAATTGTATATATAGTTTTGGGGTGGGGATCTTGACCATTTCAAAGTTATGACCCAGGGGTTAAGTCTCCAATGGTGGAGCAGTCCCCAAAGCCATCCTGGAAGCATATGTGCATTCGTCTCTTTGTAATCGGCAATTGTCTATATAGTTATAGGGTGGGGATCTCAACTGTTTCCAAGCTGTGACCAAGAAACTAGGTCCCTAGGGGTTCGGTCAGACCCCAGGGTCAATTCTAATATTGTGACTGCATTCGTCTCTTTATGCCCAGCATTTGTATATATAGTTTTTGAGTGGGGATCTCAGCCGTTTTAAAGTTATGGCCCAAGGACTATGTTTCCAAGGGTGGGGCCAGACCCTAGAGCCATCCTGGAAGCAAATGTGCATTCTTCTCTTTATACTCAGCAATTGTATATGTGGTTATATGGTGGGGATCTCAACCATTTCTAGGCAATAACCTTTTTTTGGTTCCACCCCTTAGCCCGGGAGGTCAGCCCGACCATTGGTACAATTTTGAATCCCTGCCTCCCATGAATGCTTCCGACCAAATATGATCGATATCCATGGCTTAGTTTTACAGAAGAAGTCGTTCATAGCAATCTTGCCAAATTGCCCCCTTTTGGCCCTGTCCTCAGCCCCCTGGGGGGTCAGCCCCATCATTTGTACAATTTTGAATCCCCACCACCTAGGGATGCTTCCAGTCTAATATGGTTGATATCCATCACTTAGTTCCAGAGAAGAAGTCGCTTAAAGCAATATAGCGAAATAACCCTTTTTGGCCCCGCCCCTCAGCCCCCTGGGGGGTCAGCCACACCATTTGTACAATTTTGAATCCCCACCACCTAGGAATGCTTCCAGTCTAATATGGTTGATATCCATCACTTAGTTCCAGAGAAGAAGTCGCTTTAAAGCAATATAGCCAAATAACCCTTTTTGGCCCCGCCCCTCAGCCCCCTGGGGGGTCAGCCACACCATTTGTACAATTTTGAATCCCTGCATCCCATGAATGCTTTTGATTAAATATGATTGATATCCAGTGCATAGTTCTACAGAAGAAGTCGTTTATAGCAATCTAGCCAAATTGCCCCCTTTTTGGCCCCGCCCCTCAGCCCCCTGGGGGGTCAGCCCAACCATTTGTACAATTTTGAATCTCCACCACCTAGGGATGCTTCCAGGCAAATATGGTTGATATCCATCTCTTAGTTCCAGAGAAGAAGTCGCTTAAAGCAATATAGCCAAATTGCCCCCTTTTTGCCCCGCCCCTCAGCCCCCTGGGGGTTCAGCCCCACCATTTGTACAATTTTGATTCCCCACCACCTAAGGATGCTTCCAGTCAAATTTAGTTAAATTCCAATCAGTGGTTGCATCCCAGTCAAATTTAGTTAAATTCCAATCAGTGGTTAAGAAGAAGAAGTCGTTTAAAGAAATTGTTGACGGACGGACGACGGACGACGGACGGACGCCACGGTATGGCATAAGCTCACCTTGGTCCTTTGGACCAGGTGAGCTAATAATTACATCCAAGCTAAATATGAAGTCCTGATCAGTAACAATAAACCCGATACTGTTGCTGTCTTGGTGAATACCACATTACTTTGTGATTTAATTATATAATAATAACACTTGTACTACACAGCCCTTCAAAGTTACCTAACCGAGCACAAGGCTCCACATGTGACCTAGCACTACACAACCCTACACACTTACCATCTCCAGCACCAGGCTCCATACTCTTCAGGCCCCCACTTTTAGCCCGCCGATGCCGTTTCTTGACATTGGGTGTATCTAGTTTAGATCCTACACTGCTTCCATTCACTCCCAATTTGGCAAACACTCCGTCTCCATTGGGCAGACCTGTGAAAATTTGGGTATTTCCAGAATTTTGTTTATACTACTTTCTTACAGAATGTCTCTTTCAGGAACTTCACAATTTTATATATAATGAAAGGAGGAGAGGATGGGACGAAATCAGATGATGATGCCATGCTGTATTACCAATGATTATTGACTGTTGAAAATTACACTTAACAATCATTTACTTATTCATACTCATTGTAAAAAGTGCTGGTGCACCTGTGCACACAACTTTTCTGCTCTTTTGAAAAAGATCAAGGGTGCACTTTTAAAAGGCAGTATACCTTAATGCAGTGTCATCTCAATAATCTACCATAAGTGTTCTTTTTTTCACCATAAAATGTGCCTGAACTGGCAAGTGACAAATTGTGTTATCATCAGCAGCCAGTAGAGAATTCCGATTCTTTAAATGCACCTTGTTTACATGTTTGTCAGCATACATGGTATACTTTGTAGAGGGTGGAGATTCATATACATCTGGATACCCTGAAAATGCTACTAAGGGAGATAATCCAGTTATTTCCTCATTCATACTTGGTAAAGGCACAAGAATGACTTCAAATCAAAGGAAAACATATGTTATCTTATAAAAATTACTGCAGTTTTATAGATAGTTTCCCATATACAAACACCTTAAACATTTTATGTAAGGAAGTAAATAGGGGTTAAATGTATATGTACAGAGAAAAGACAGTGAAGTTACTTAAGCATTAAACTGTCTTCTTTGGAAAGTTACTGTCCTATATTTCTCAAAGGATTGCAGACAAATTGAATAATGCGCGTTAGCACGTTATGAGTAATTTGTCTTCAATCCGGTGAGAATTACAGGACAATAACTTTCCAAGAAGGCAGTTTTTCTTATATTTTTAATCTTTTATCTTTTATCGCATTTCAAAGTCAAATTTCGCACTGTCTGTCAATGGGACCTGTTCTTGTGACGTCACGAGTACATGCCAATGTTCCCGGCAAAAAATGATAGTTTGTGGCAGTTAACACAAAATCATCAAAATATTCCACCATGAGGATATTCACCTTTTATACAACTACATCAATTGTTGTGAGTAACATTGATCAATTGGCCTTTTTAATCTGGTAGCAATGTCATTTAGTTACGATGTCACGAACATGTTCTTCATATCACTACACTAATGAGAATTATGTGAGAATTATGATCTGATATCTTTCTATTTTGTTTGGTATGGTTATATAGTGGCAATGCAGAGCAAATGGGAAATATATTATATACGTATAGACATGCTGCTTCAGTTATGATACCAAGATGACATGGAGTTAGGGATGTCAACATATGTCTATGGATGCTGAGAAAGTTAACACATAGAAACAGAATCCTATCTAGGTATGTGTAAATACTGAGAAACTTGCACAACACAGCACAGATATGCATAACATACATGACAGCACAGCACAGGTATATCTATAAATACAGAGGAACGTACACCATACATGCAATATCCATGCATCTCAAAACTAATACAACAACACAAAGAGATTGAAATATAATTTACTTAAACTAGGAAGGAAAGCTAAATATATGTAGATATATAACACCTTTAGATTTTAGTTCAGAGTGTATCAATCTACTATAAATTCATTATGGACTGTGTGTGACTGCAAATAAGCCCCCTTTTGTTACAATTTTGAATTTCAATAGAATGGATAGGGGTGAAAAAACCTGCTGAAAATCTATTGAAATCTTATGAATTTCTTCACCCTCCTAAAGTGTCTGATAAATACTTCCCCAAACCTCCTAGGTACCAGGTATGTACCAGTGTACATATGGGTATGTATATAATATGGTTCATACCTTGATACTTTACAGACTTTGGATAGAATTCAAGTGTCAGACACTTGTTCTTTAATCAAACTTCGTTTATAATGCTTTCATCACATTCATACCTACTCTTTTGAAACAAATCAATTTAATTACCCCCTCCCAAATTTAAGAACAGGAAAGCCTATTTCTCCTCCAGACAATACAAGACACACCTTGTGCTGAATTAGAATTTTCAGAGCTGGAATGATGACGATCTCGCACAATGTCGAATCCAGTCAACATGACGTTTTCTTTGTCCCTTGAACTCTTGCCTGGAAAAAAGGGCCACTTATATTACAACACTGACATGCAAGCTCCCACAAAACACTGATCACACGAAAATAGCCTCAATGGTGAATATCCAGCATGCTCTTAGCTAGTCACTACAGTGAAATCCAGATTGAGATTTGAAAACATTGGTATGTTTATATTTCAACCTTTTACAAAACGTCAACTAAGTCAATTTTCTTTTAAACCCAAGAACGGACAGACCTGCCAAATGCACACACCACATGGGCCAATATTTTTGTTCAAAACTGTTTTTGTATTCTCTGTACGTTTCAGTCTTTAGATCCTTCAATGATGTTCTTTTAAAAGGAAGTTTTGCTAATTAGCACAGTAACTCACTCTGGTTATCTCCCCTTCCCCTATACATAGTAGATGGATACACTTTGCTGACATGTTTCAGGGTTGTCTTCCCTTCCCCTATACACAGCAGATGGATACACTGTTCTGACATTTTTCACGGTTATCTCCCCTTCCCCTATACACAGCAGATGGATACACTGTGCCGCCATGTTTCACGGTTATATCCCCTTCCCCTATACAAAGTAGATGGATACACTTTGATGACATGTTTCACGGTTATCGCCCCTTCCCCTATACATAGTAGATGGATACACTTTGATGACATGTTTCACGGTTATCGCCCCTTCCCCTATACACAGTCGATGGATACACTGTGCTGCCATGTTTCACGGTTATCTCCGCTTCCCCTATACAAAGTAGATGGATACACTTTGCTGACATGTTTCAGGGTTGTCTTCCCTTCCCCTATACAAAGTAGATGGATACACTGTGCCGCCATGTTTCACGGTTATCCCCCCTTCCCCTATACACAGTAGATAGATACACTGTGCTGACATGTTTTACGGATATCTCCCCTTCCCCTTTCCACAGTAGATGGATACACTGTTCTGACATTTTTCACGGTTATCTCCCCTTCCCCTATACAAAGTAGATGGATACACTTTGATGACATGTTTCACGGTTATCTCCCCTTCCCCTATACATAGTAGATGGATACACTGTGCTGACATGTTTTACGGTTATCTCCCCTTCCCCTATACACAGTAGATGGATACACTGTGCTGACATGTAAAACATGTCCTTACGTTAATAAATACACTTGCAATAAAATTACATTCCTTTCATTCTGTTAGTTTTATCCATATATGTATATCATGCTCATTAAATAAACTGATAATATATACAGAAATTTTTAAAACCATGCAGAAATCAAATGAAATCTTACAACACGCAGAATGACACAGATTTAATTGATCAAACATACATATGATGATGACCATAGCTCCACTTGTACTCCACATCATCAGAAGTATATACCAGACAAACATGTAACTGACACTACACAAACAGCACTGCATTACATTCTCTGTATTTTCACAAATTCTCCCTTTTGCCACTTTCAATGAGTCTGACTTTACAGAAGAAGAAGGTTTGGGAGAGTTGTTTTCATTTCATACTGAAAATGATATCTCACTTTTTGTCTTTTTGTGTCTCTTAAATGTTCATATTTTATCAAAAACAGAATTTCTTCTAGACATTGTAATATCAAACAACCCCTGATTTCTGTGTCAAAATGTGTGCCATATTCTAATGACGATAAACCAAAGTTCGCCAATAAGCCAACCCTGGATATTGGAAAAGAGCACTTTCTAAATAAAGGGACATATTGGGAATGTTCATTACTAATTTGATGTACATATATCTCCTAAAACCTAGGCCCCCTGGGTTTATCAGAAGTAATGAACGGTATTACAAAAACAGATGTACCACACAACATTTGTACCACACAACACCAAGACAACACCGTCAGTATAATAAAGATTGCTTGCCTAGCTTACTTTTCAGGCCGTTGGCTGGGTCCTGGTTAGGGTGCTGAGGGGGATAGTTGGGGACTGTCTTCGTTGTTCGTGGCCGCAGACCAGGAATCTTTACTGTCGTATGCATAAGTGATATTTCCTTTTTATGTACATCATCCATGTAGTCCTAAAATAAAACACATCACTCATAAACATCATAAAATATTCTTTTAAATAAAAATAAAATTCAAATTTCAGTCAGAAGTCTCAAATATATTTGATATACAAATGTACTGATACAAACTAATCCAAAATTAACACTAACATAATCTGTTCCCTATTAGGCAACTTCCTTGATAAATCAATATAATCTGGTCTGGGACGTATTTTACAATACACCAATACATTTCTGAATTAAATTACACGATCTTCTAATACAATGAAGATATATAATTTGCTAATTCAAGAAAGTCCACAACTTACGTGAAGACTAGGATGATATGCCAAGCGTGCATCATCAAGTAAAGTAACATATTTCTTCTTCCATTCTTTGTTTAAACCGTGACTCTTCTTGTACAGGTAACCCTAAACAATGCAATGATGACATATTAATACATAACATTCAGACATACTGGCCAATCTTTCAAATCATCCATGGGGCATAAAACAGCAATATCTAAAAACACAAACACCTTTCGATGAGTCTGTCAGACAAAATAAAAGAGTATAATGCCAAAGTTGAAACTGCTCTTTACAATTCATTAACAGAAGTTCAGTAAAAAGCAAGGTGTAGAAAATTCTTATTTCAAAGTAATACATAAGAGTGTGAAAAACATGAAATTGCTTTAATGATAGGAAGATTTGAGAAGTATGGTAAGTCATTAACCTTTTTTAATACTGTACACATAGTTTGTATAAAAAAAATCCCTACCACATTTTGGGTTTTGTATTAAAATAATAATTCTTTAATAAGAATTATTTAAACACAATATTATATCATTTAGTACCAAACCAAACCAAGAAGATTCTATTTGTAATAAAGACAACAGGATTTGTACCTGTTTGAGAGGTATCACACGGCCGCTGCCCAGCTTTTCCGTCTCTGGTAACGTTTTCACCTTTTCCTCTTCTTTATTCTTCGGCTGTTGAGGAAAACACATATATACTTGGAATGTAAATTAATAGTTCAAGAGTTATCTAGTATGAACAAATGCTTATTAAACATAACTTTTAGAATGATTTTGAATTTGCAGTTTCTTTGAATATAGTGAACCTGTTTACAATGAATAACTTACGAAAAATGGATAAAAATACAGAAAAAGGCATTTACTATTTATCCTAATAATATAACTTTCTAATACACTTCCCCTACAAATCAACACATTGACATGATATTGCGATGTCCCTTTAGTTTATTTATTTCCTTTTTCTTATAATGTCAACAGAGAAATTTACAGTTGCAAACTAGTATATTAGCCATAGCATGTTCCTTTATAAAATTTAATGTTTTTTATCTCATACAATTTCTTCCCTTCACCAAATACATGTTTCCACACAGAATTATATATTTTTAGGCCATTAGAGAAATATTTCAGAGCATCTATTTTATGGTATTTAAATGCATGTTATGATGGCTTTGGATGTATTATCACAATCTTAGCAGTTATTTTTTTTGATATTCAGTATGATAAATAACTTATTTGCTATCCTGACTTCTCCTGTTTATAATTTGAAATTTATTACATTTTTTTGTGTCAATATCTCTATTACACCCACAACAGTTTTTCCAAGGACCCCAGGTAACTTCATAGATTTGATAGTGTTTCCAAATGATGTCTCTTCAATTTGCCATTTGACAAAACAATGAGCTGACATGTTTATCGGAAATAAAACTCTGCCCGACAAGCATCTTATCATTCTTCAACCCACGATAAGGACAACCAGAAACTTAATTACCTCCCCTGATACTTCAGTAGTCTCATTGTTTTAACTGTCCAATAAACAAGAGTGAATTCCCCTGGGTTATGTATGTTGTATACACTAGAATGACCTCCCCTGTTGACCTGATAACCCCTGTGAACTCCTCTGGTTTAGATATGTTGTATACAATAGAGTAACCTTTTTTAATTTTTATTTTGACCTGATATGACCTATGAACTAAAGCGACCTCCCCTAATAAGTCCAGTGAAGTGATATTCATCCTCACCCTAATATAACATGAAGTTATAACTGTAGGAGTTATACATGGTTACGATGTACTTTAAATGTAAGTCAATCATAACCTCTTTACAAATGATAAAACATGCAATTAGCTAATAAGACATTAGCTACATTATTTTTAGTAACACTGGTTATACTTGTATATACTTTGGCTTACCTATCATAAATGACAATTCTGATTACAGTATCAAGAGTAACCAAATAATTATTGGAGATATTGGTAGTATATCCAATAATACAGGGCTCCATACACTTACCCCACCATCATCAGTGTTCAGTAATACAAGATGACAGCGGACATAATGTGTTTACAGTAGATATCGCTCCTACTAATTTAAAGATTATTTCACAACTTGTGTTTTGATCAATGATTGGTCAAAGGATTTTGATCAATCAAATTATAGATATAGTTCAAATACCTTAATGTTTAATAATGTTGGTGAAAAAGGAGTCTGCATTAATGTCATGCAAATTAACACATATATTAATAACCAATGGGTGACAGGATGTGGATGGGGTTGAGGGGTCGTCAAAGTCTGGTCAGGCAACCAAAATTCCATCAAACAATAACAAGATCTTAGCCAATCACAACAGTCAGCAAAGCTTGGAGCTCGTAGAAATACAGGTGTTGGGAAATAAAACCGTACAGGCCAGGAGCACAAAAAGCACACCAACAAGTGGCAGCAAGACTGGAAATCAAATGTGCGAAAATGTGTATGTGGTAAGTGTGCAAAGTAAAACTCCCCACTGAAAACTGTTGTATTAGTATGAAACTAATACAGGTCCTGGTAACGACAGAGCAGAATCATCACAACGACTCTCCCTCTACAGACTCTCACTCTACAGACTCTCACTCTACAGACTCTCCCTCTACACAGACTCTCCCTCTACAGACTCTCACTCTACAGACTCTCACTCTACAGACTCTCACTCTACAGANATCAAAACACTCCAATGGGCAAATCCTTTCACATTATCTGTCTTCAAATATGTTTACAAGTTTAAATTTCAACTCTAGTTTTTACATTTCTTCAGTAGAAAGAATTTGAATATACTTGCCAGACTTCAAGAGCAGATGTTGAGACATGTATGTTTTAAAATATTACTTTTATGTCTTGAATCTTACGTATATTAATCATGCATCAGTACACATATTTTCCAATATGTATCCCTTCATGGGGGGTAACAGACTTCAGTGTATCCTCCTAGAATACCAAACCAACATAGTCCAGATATTATAGATATATCTTGTCACCTGGAAGACATTTCTTAGGTAAAAGTCTGAAAGTTTTCGAAGGTTTACCGTTGAGCTATACAGAGTCTGAGTAAGAACAGTTTGATCACTCTCTTTAGTCTCATACATAACACATTATTGGCTGAATTGTCACTAGTTTGCTTTTTGACCTTCTTAAAGAGAACAGCTATGTCATTCCGAAGACAATACAGCTCTTTACTTTATTTTACATACTTGCATTTAACACAAATGGACAATGCTGACAACTGATATTTTTCCAGGGATACACATAGATAAACAACAGCTAAGACTCAGCTATTTGAACATCAAATGCAAGATCCCACCAAGAGCAGAATTAAACTCACTTCTACCAGAACACAGGCGTTCAAATGTTGTTGACATCAAGGCTGCCATTTACAAGTATCTATCACAGTATGGGAAATATTTTCTATTTCATTTCAGTAATTCAAAAGCATAAAATTAAATCAAATAAGCAAAAACATTTAGAGAACTTTAATCAAAGGTAAAAACAAGTGAATTCCCAGAGATGCATTCAGATAAAATCTAATGGGAGAAAAATCACCAAGGAACAAAACTTTGATTCAAAGGACCTTAACTGTATATACTGGGGCATGAGACCTAATATCAGTATGTAATACCCTATCATCCGAAACAGGTACTCGCATTGTGACAATTGTAGGTAACAGTGTATGATATATGTTTCAGACAAAGGTACACACTGACAAACTGACAGACTCATTGAAAGTCCCTGTGAAAGTGCTGGCGGGGGACAAAAAAGAGCTTATTATACATAATTCCATATCAACAAACATATCTTCTCTATCTACAGTTCACACAGCTACCAGGTGGGAAGAACTACTATGTGATGTGATAGGCTGGAAAGTGTGCCCTAGGGGGAATAACTCTGTTGACCATCTAAAACAGAGATGCAACCAGTTTAGTGAAAATGTCACATATCATTCAGCTAGTAAAAATCTGCAATCAACAAATATCATTCTTTCATCAACAAGGTTCAAAGAAATGGCAGCCAGAATGAGAAATACCATGCCACACATGTTTAAGACCTTGCAAGAGGACAATCATTATGACTGCCAATGTCCTTGTTTTCTGTAAAAGTTTGAGGATGACAGATATTATCATTTCCATTACAAGGTCAATGATTACCAATATCATTGTCCCCTTTAAAAGTTTAAGTGTTACCTATTTCCTTTACAAGGTCTAAGGTTAAACTTCCATCCTTTATAAGATCAATATCACTGTCCCCTTTACAGAATCTGGAGTTAAATACCATTGTCTTCTTTTACTATGTCAAGGATTACCTTGCATTTCCCCCTTAAAAAGGTCAAAAGTTAAACTATCAATATCTCCTTTATAAATCTTCTTTGCATACCAATAACATTTGTTTCAGGGTCAAGGGTTATCAGTGTCCTCGTCTCCTTAACAAGGTAAATAACTAAATATTAAAGAAATGTTCCTGTTATAAACCCATAGTTACTAAGATCCTTATCTTCCTTACATAATAATCCTAGGCTACCAATATCTTTGTTTTCTTTACAAGGTAAATAACAGCATTATCCCCTTTCTAATGTGGAATTACTATTGAATCCTTGAAAAGGTCATTGGGTTCCAATATCTTTGCATTCTATATAATGGTCAAGTTCGGACATTGTTCCTGTGGAAAAATACTCAAATGTAGGGTATGCACTGTTGGATACAGGCTTCTGGTCATTGTGAACGACCATCATCATCTCCTTTATAACGTAAATAGGTGTCAAAAACATTATTCTCTTCATAAGATCAAAGATGAGCTTTCATTGTCTCCATCAAACTTTCGAAGATGTTGAATACTCATATAACTGTTCCCTTTACAAGGGCAGGTGTTTTAATAGCAACATTCCTTTTATAAGGTCACACTGTCTACTGTGTCATTTACAGGGGCAAATGTTTAAATGTCAATGTTTCCCTTAATTGACCAGGGAAACAGCTAGCTTGACCTTGCTCACAAGTTCAAAAACACTAAAATTGTTGTCACATTATTAGAAGAAAGTTTATATATGCTATTGTACCAAAGCTATGGTAATTGTCCCCAACTCTACAAATCATCAAGATTTAGTAAACAGGAAGGTGGACGTTGATGAAAGAGTGGCGTCTCCTGGCAGTGTGTGCCCCCCTGTGCCTTTCTAAAAATTTTGAGAGACCTATAGTCCTTTACTACACAAACAACGATTGTTGATTTTTTGTACATTTACTTTTTTATTCTAATAAACAATTTACAGTTTCATTGTAGGTTGACGTGAAGATTTGTTTACCTTTATGATTGCTTAAGGAAACAAACCTTTGTATCACCCTATCATCAGGGCCATGTTTATTTGTGTATTGCACCACTTCCAAGGCAAACAACTACAAACATCATGGTCTTCTTTTTTAAGTACAGTGTTCCTTATTCATATCAATTTCAATGTTTCTTCTTGATAAGGTCAACTTCCATAATTTCTCTCAGTTAATAGGTCAAGCATCATAAATTGAATGCTGCTATTTACGTGTAACTGATCAATTAAAACACATATGTCAAGTTAAACTGATGCACAGTATTTAAATACATCTACCTATTTATACAGCTAGGTAGACAGGAGCATTAGTACTTGTGTCCAGCTCTCCGTTGGACATTTGACATCAGGGGGAATGATAGTAGAATTGACTCAAAATTTTACAGTATCAAAAGACATGGTTACTGTTCATACCTAAATAACCAAACTAAACACCAAGTCTATGAACTTACAGATCTGACAGTAAACAAAATCATAAACTGGATTGCATCTCTGTTACAAAGAAGCACAACAAAATCATTCAAACAACAGGACTAGCAATCAAGGTACATGTAGCAAACAAAAATATCACTAGCAATCAAGGTAGCAAACAAGAATCATCCACAAAACATGCAGTTAATATTAAAATGAATTAATGTCCAATAATGTTCACCACACATTAAAATAAACACAGATTGCACAGGTGTGTTTCTGTTATAACAACCCAACCAATAGAATCCAAACAGGGACAGAACTGATACAGTAGTAAATATACTATATCTACTATATATCTACTGACTGAAGGTCGTCTGATGTGGAGGCCAGAGTTCAAAGTTTAAATAGGTGAACAGGAGGTTCACTGGTAAAAATAAAATTTGAAATTAAAATCAATAAAATATTCGAAAAAAAAGAAGAAGATCGAAGCAAAAAAAAAAGAATTACACTATCTTTTTTACTTTCTGTTACACATGTTTATATTTCTTAGGAATTAAAGGATCAAATTAAGCTGGATCAAAATCAAGCAATTAAAGAAGTCATTGATAGTAAATGAAACAGTTTAATCCCAACCTCATCCGTAATTATATCACACGAGAGTGGGAATATTTTATCAAATTGAATGTCATATTTCAGTAGATTATATGTAATTTTTCAGATGGGCAAGATATATGCCAATAATATTCTTAATAACGAGATAATTGGACAGAACTGTCAGAACAATGGCTTCACAAAGACATTCAAGGGCATTTGTGGTCACAAGGCAGGCCTATAGATGGATAACTGCCCAGTGGTCAAGGTGACATCTGATTTCACAGGACAGGTGACTGATTTTCATTGGATATGTGCCATAAGGAACTTAATCATGGTAATTTCAAAAGGAAGTAGTCAATAGTGTGTCGTTTTTTCTTGAATCTCTGAGGCCAAGTTGATAAACATTAAGAAAGTCCCTTGAACATACATATTCAAAACCAATCATTTATAATAAGGTGGAACAATTTTTTCCCCATTTTATTGCCTTTATTCCCATATCTGTCCGTTCACACATTCTTTTTCCATTAGCTTGTTATACGCAGATTAGAAGCAGTGACACTGTGTTCAGTTATGAAGAGTTATGATAATATTTATAAGTATTGGGGTTTAACTTTATTTTAACATTAACTGCCCAATCAAAGGAATCCAAACGAAAACAAATACCACAATGTGTTATGTGCTGTAACAACAGAATGAGTCGAAATTGGTTAATAATTATTCCACATCAAACGGGGTAAAAGTCAAAAAGATCCCTTCACAATAAATATCATAATCTATACAGGGAGAAAACAGTCACATGATAATCAGCAGCCAATCAGAATCAGTCACATGACTTTTATCAGCCAATCAGAGAGCCACATGACACCACTGACCACATCCACCAGATCTGCACCTTTGTGTTTTGCTTACATTAAATAGGTTGGAGCGACGCCTATTTTTGCGACTCTGTGTTGGTGTGCTGCTTGGTGTGGGCAAGTCTCTGGCATCAGGCTTATCCTGTAAACGTACACATTGGACGATGGTGTTAGATATGGTCAGTACTACTTCTATACACCACTACAGGTAGCCACTACTCACAGGCTAGCCGAGGTCAGTACTACACGCAAAGCTAGCTACAGGCCGGGTACAATCTGGAAGGTACACGGCTAAAATGTATCCTCAGCTCTACATGTACAGCCAGTTGGCTCTACATGTATAGCCAGTTGGGTAGACAAGATGTGCCTCTTTGCTACAAGCCACCAATATATAGATCCTCCACCAATAGCAAGCTGAATATTATTAATAGAAAAATGCAAGTAAACTACAAGCAAGAAAAGAATGTGTCCATCGCTGTAAGCCAGCTAGAGCTGTTTGGGGTAGCTGTAGAGCGCACCCAGGATTACTGCAAATATCTGATCTCACAAGCTAGTAAGACAGGAATTGTTCTATAGGGTTAATAGATACATCTACTTTAAAAAGTGGTCAATAGGGACTTAAGTACACTTTACAGCTGTAAGTACACACATTCCATAACAGTCTGTGCTGGTGCTGCTGCAGCAGTAGTGAAAAGGAAGTTTCTTTTAGTCTCAGAGATGGAGGGATAATAATTGGATAGAAAACAGAATTGATCCAAAATAAAGCTTGCTTCCATATCATTCTTCTGTCAGGAATATCTCAAAGGACAAAGCTAGTGCTACCATAATTATCACATATCTTGCATTCTTGTTACTTTTGAGATGCAGCTTACCCGGAGTGAGCTTAGTGACAAAGCATGTGAAAAAGAGTTGAAAATGGTTAACAAGAAGTAAAGGTAGATAGTTTTAAGACTTGTCAGGAGATCTGGTAAAGGTAACAGATAGGAAAGCTAACTCCAAAGTGACCGTGTAGGTTACTTCAGCAGGTTGGTGATGTACCTGTAAATTCTAAAAGCATGGTTAAGTCTTCTACTCTTGTTCAGCAAGCATAACACATAGATAACAAAAACAAGACCATTGTATCTGTGACTGCTGAGGAGTTCTGTAAGGCTACACATCAAGAAACAGACACTAATTCCTGAAACATCTCAGTTCTTTCTTTTTAAAATCTGAGTTGAGTTAGGTAGCTAGTAAAATTGACTAGTTTTGCTTTTTGCAGTGTGATACTTTATTTCGACAGCAATCTCTGATACAATGTTCTGGGTTACAGACATTCTATAGGCCACAATGTTAGCACTACCGGAAGTTGTTAGACAATATATTTAACTGAAAATGAAATCTGAAAACAGCTGCAAAAAATATACAATTACAGCAAAATAAACTAAATACTATATAGCATGCTTTCAAATTTTTACATTTTTTTTCCCAATATTTATTGGTTCTAAATCATCATAGCTAGTACCATCTTCTTCTTTTTTAATCTCACAAACCAATTTTTTTCTATAGACTTTTTATAATAAACTTTTGAATCTTGATCAAAGGTTCTTCTATAATACAGGTATATATGCTTTCTTTGACATCAATACAATGGACGCAGAAACCAACAGATGATATATGTGAAACATTCTCTACAATATAGTGTCATCTGTACATAGTCTTAATACTTTAGATTTGTGGTACTCTTGTGTCTATTGAAGACATATATAGTTTGGTAAACACAGCTTGTTGACCAGTACCTACTGATGGTTACAGGACTATACAAAGGTAAGGGCTATATAAGAATAACAACCTGATATATGGATAGGAATGACTAAACTACATATACATCTGTAGTTAAAAACATTAAATAACATCAAATCTTTAAGTCAACCTTAGGAATGATAACATTTAAGGTTAATTAAACCTTAAAAAGCACTCCTATTTTCCCCAACACAGCTGCTAAGGGCATGTATACTATGAGGCTGAAACCTTTGGCTAACTGCAGTGTTTCCAAATGTATGTTATGCCGCAACAGTAAACATACAGCACCCAGAGATTTAAATTTGCATGTGTGTCAAAGTGCGAAGGTGTGAATAATAAGCTGAATAACATGAAATTTAAAAAAGAGGCTTCCCAACTTCAGTGCCTGTCACACTACAAAAAAGTATTTTGCGAAAAAGCAATCTCATCAACAATATAACAATATTCACTGTACACCACAGTACTCAAAACCACCAACATCCACAATGTAAACAAGTGTAAATGTCAGTAAGACCAACAAACAGGCAAGTGTGTGATGCCTATGTTCTGTTCTGCAGCAGTAGTCCACCTAGCTAGAGGCAACATCATGCATACAAAATCAAGTAGGTTGCAAAGGGAGGTAATTCAGTGGCGAAAGGGAGACAATTTGAATTAGCAATATTATCTGGTCAACTATAAAACAGCAAAATACGGTGAGTGAGGGAGTCTTGAGAATAACTAAAACTGCAGAAGAAAGAAACGCTGGAGGTGGATAAAGGGGAATATAGATTATAATGAAGGTACAAAGAATAACTGGAAAATAACAAACATGCACCGAGATACCTGTCATACAAAGATTGGAAACAAAGGCACTAAAGGGAGACAATTCCAGCATCACTCCCAAAAGATGTCCATTTTGTCCGGGGAGCTTTGTGATATTATAACTTACGAGCACAAGACTTGACCGTACCCTTGTCATTCGATTGAGAAGCGGAGTGAATGGACTATTGTCGTGTATGTGTAACTCCATCTTATATCTATCCATTTTCTCCTACACAACCGCAATCCATTGGAGAAAAAAAAGAAAATATAACATACTTCAGTAATTGCAATAAATTTTAAGTATTGATTTATACTTGATTTTGTGAAAATTTATCAAAACATGTCACAGGCTACTTTTTTTTTTTGTCTAATTCAATATAACAGAATAAAAATTCAGACATCCTAAATTTAGTCCTGAATAAAACAACAAATTATTGATAGTCTTAACTTCTTTATCTTATTGAATCTTCAAAAATTATTACGTACAAGGTGATTTCAATAAAATTTTCAATCGGAAATAATTAAATATTTATCTATTAAGTATTATGTACAAGGTGATTTCAATATAATTTTCAATTGGAAATTATGAATACTAATCTTTTAATTTTTCATTCTTGCTTTCAGTTAAGATCTTTTCACACATTATGCACACGAACATTAAATTTCAGTTTTAAACTTGGAGATGAAAATCCAATAATTGGATTATGTGTAAGATGAGGCCCAAACCAGGGTAGATATCCAGCTATATTCCCAGTCCCACATGTATGTATTGAAAATATACAACTACGGTATCTATTACAATATGATGAATGCAGAGTAAGTGAACATTGAGTCTGTAGAATCAAGTTAAAGATATTACGTACAATTATTTAGTTACAGAATGTACACCACCAGACAATTCTTATTTGTGTTCCCCGTCGGATGTTAGTGACTAACTTCACAAATACTGCATTCAAACACTAAAGTCACAATAATGGCAAATTTATACCAAAACTCCCACAAACTGAATCAATCAAGCACCATTCCATGGATGCAATGAGCGATTGTTATTGTATGATGATGATGAAAAAGATGATGGAGGGATAAATATATTATCTCCTTTAAGTATGAAATCCGTTATTGAAACTATATAGCTTTCATCAGTTTAGAACTCAAAATATTTAAGAAAGGTGACAGCAGAAGAAATGATGATACTAAAACTTGTTAAGCAGTTCCAATAAGCCATAGCGATGTGTGAAAAGCTGGGAGGGTAAATATTGCACAATCAAACCCACCGACCTAAAGACTAAATAGCCACTAGCTGGGCAATAGGAGCCATTACATCACTGTGGGATGAACTGTTGTATGGACATCCGATTGAATGGTCAGTAAAGACAGAAAGACAAACTCTGGTTACCCTGACAGGGGGAAATCCAACACCATATCTATGCCTTCTACAGGAAAGTTTATACGTAATCTGTATTATACCTTGATGTCCGAATATATGGACATCAGAATGTCTGGCTGTAAAGGAGAAACAGACACGAAATACAATAGGCTGGGTACCACAGGGTGGAACTATGTACAACCATCCATAGCAATAAAGCTTAGCCTTCATCAGGGTAAGAGTATTGAAAAGGTTTCATCAGAATCTGGTCATATTTAAATAGTATCCAGAAACTGTCAATAAATCAGAGAGCTAATTTGTAAATTCATCATGCAAGGGTTTTGCTCAAATTCAAACTTAGCTGAAGGTTTTTGTATAGTACACATGATTACCATGTTTCATCAAAACTCACTGGATTTTTAAGCAAGTTATCTTGTGGAAACGTTGACTGATAGACAGACAGATGGATGGTTGCCCCCAATACCATAATGTCTTGGATGCACATAGGCCATTACATTTTTATATCTCTTATTGTGAGTCTGCACTTTGTTGAGATTGAGTGATATCATGTCCAGGGCATCCAATAAAAGTATTAATCAGCTGACTTTAACTCACGAAAGACCAGGGCAGTTTGATTGACTAATTATCCAACTCTTACAGACCACGACAGCTTCAGGTCAGTTAAAATTAACATGTCAAGACCAGGGTAGATCTGTAAATCAATGAATACATATTTGTAAATCTAATGTCAGGTGAAAATAGCTATTAGATAAACCACATAGGGTATACATATATAGAAATGTCACCACCGCATGCCTACACTTCTCATTGGTAAGACTTAACAGATCCCTGTCAAAATTATCGATACTTACGCACAAATACATGGGCTCACTATAAACCTACATTTGTTTTATAAGTTATTCCATATGCCCTATGAGATTTGATTTCTTGGCTAAACTCAAACCAGTGTATCACAAGGAAAGGCTCATTATTGACCTAATGTCACCTGATCACTTTGACATCAATCAGAAATTGATGGTCAGTCAGAACTCGGATATCAATCATAATTTGGTAGTCAGTTGGAAAAAAGACATCAGTTCTGAACTTGGTGGTCAGTCTGAACTTGATAGGTAGCTAGATCTTGGTGGTCAATTTGAACTCAAACAACAGTCAGAATGTGGTGGTCAGTCAGTGTTAGTGGAGGATACAGAATGAACCTCTCTCATTAAATGTGCATGGAATGTTTTTTAAATGTATGTGGTTTCGTTTTCAATAATCAATCTGTAAAATTCCTAAAGGAACAAAACATGAAAAGTTCAGGTAATAAGATCATTAACAGTTTATAACTGTGAGTTCAAAAGTAGAGGATGAAGTGATGCGTGACTGAGGGTAGCAGAATTTTCAGGAACTTTACAGTGGAAACTAGGTATGTGACCATGATGTTGACATTTGCGAGGATGAGTGATACATGAATGTCTGATAATGGCTATGTAGGCATGTAATTGTTAGCACATGCTACTGGAAGAAACACTCGGTCATACATTTTATGGTTCAGGTTACCTTGAAAGCTGATTTTATTTTTAATTTCAAATTTTGAAATTAACAGGAAAAAAAAGAATGTTTATCTTTTAAGTCCGAAGTAATAGAGAGAGAAAAAATGAAGAATAAATTTCTTCACATTTTAAGTCCTACATGGTAAACACTCCGGAACAGATGCTCCTTTGTACCACACAGCCCTTTGAACCGGCTGTTGGGACGGACTAGAGTTGTCTCCTCCTACACTAAACTTGTGTATCTACGACTAATACCGTTCCCCAGGTACACAGTCAAACCTGTCTATAATGACCACTGAAAGTATAACAAGGGTCTTAACAGAAAAGGTTGGGGTGGGGGATATTATAAAAGTTACAAATAAAGGGAAATACTTACAGAATTATTCAACTCGTTATATAAAGGTAGTGGGTATAGACAGGTGAACTACACTGGGCAGGTTTGACTGTATATATATATATATATATTTTTGTAATAACATGCATTTGTTAACAGTCTACAGATATGTATTTGTAATAAGCACTATTGCACTATATGAAACCTCAGTTTTAACCACATTGTGACGATTTTTATCCAAAATTACTCGGATTTTACCATTGTATTTTCTTTTTTAATTACCATTTTTAACCTGACTCTTTATATACCCTTAGACATGCACATTACTTAATTAACATATAAAGCTATACAAGTAAAAGCTATCAAATGAAATTAACAATAAAATTCATACTTTTGCTATAAAAATAACACTATGAGGTTGTATTATCTAAATGAAAATTAATACATAGAGTTCTTCAAATATAACATGCATACATCACATTGTATTCTTGTAATTCATTCTTTTATTTCATTTATATGCTAAAAAATTCTTGGGAGAAATTTCTGGTAAACAGTGAAAATTACAAGTTTTCAATACATAGACAAGTTATTAAAAACATAACTGAGGTTAAGTAATGCTAAAGTTAGAAGGCAAAAAATATTGTGTTTATGTGTTCCTGTTCTACACATTTGATCTTTTTTTGTTTCTTTTTCATATCTACATTTCTCCACATTATTTATTTTTCTGTAATTGTGAGTTACAATATAGGATTATATATCAATAAAATATTAAATATTACATAATTCATAGGTTCTAACAAGAAGAATATTTGACTGTTTATCAGTTTGACTACATGACAGTTAGGTTATCATAACAAGGAGATTCTGCTATATATAACAGACAGCTCAGGGAAGGTCTAGTTCTAGGTAAATATAGTCTAAAATTTCTTTTGATTAAGGCAAAAAAACCAGGTTCAATATATCAGACGTCTACATTCTATAATCTTATTTCACTACTGATAAACTACATGTATATAGAAACTAGCATTTATTGATAAAATAGAAAAAACAAAAGAAATTCAAGAACTAAGGTATTGTTTTCATTAATTACTGATATTGTTTACAATATTTATAAAAACTGTCTTGACATAACTTTAAAAATAAATTTATGATACAAAAACGTTTTTTGCAAATGTTTACTTTTCTTCATATAAGATGTAACTTTCCACTCTTTTAAATTCACTGTAGTTATAAAACTGAGCAAGGTTTAACACATCGTAACTCCTGTTAGTAAAAGCTAAAAGTGTTATAAATATATTAGGTACTTTAGCAGACAAAAAACATATTTGAGATACTTTTTAAATCCATTTACACAAGTTTGCAATGAAATGTGGTTTGGGTTTTTATCAAAAAAGAAAATCCATCAAAACTTTAATGTTCTTAGGTCAAAAAAGAAAAATTTCCTGATTTTTTTTCAAATATTAGCATTCAAAGTATATTTTTTAACAAATCTACAGAAGAATTTTTGAAATATTTAATGGTAAGCAAGCATTATCATTTAAAATGTACCTCAAACACTGTATTGACCTTACAACAGGTCGTTAAGGAAAACTAGGTAAATATAACATTACCACAAATATATAACACTTGATATATGGGAGTATATAAATGTACAACACCCTCCTAGGGTTGACATTTTCTTTTACAAAACTTACAGTTAGAAAGGTGTTTTTGAGAAACTTTGAATTTTTCCGACTGAGAATCGGTGTTGATACCGGGTGAGAAGAAAACAGCCTATCAACAGGTCCCTGTAAATAGGAAACAAGCCAAAACGACATGCAGAAATCATAAAACAGCGCAAATAAAATCAATCTTTGACGACTCAAACTAAAACATAATCATCTAAATCATAAGTAACAAAGGAATGTAATTATTGTATGTGGTACACTTCAAATTCATATGTCCTGGCAACTGAAAACATGTCCAGAGATAGGCTACATCATAGCTTTGTTAAATAATTTATTTACATAAATACATCACGAAAGTTTGTTCATTTACCTATATCTTTTCAATGGAGTTCAGAACTTTCAAAATAATTAGTTTTAGAAAGAACTTGCTTTCTAAACAAATGACAAAATTTTGATAAATAAAACTGATTTAAATAAAGAAAATGGAATCTGACTGTGTACCACAATACGTAGCATGAGGGATTCAGTGTTCCGAGACATTTATCAGCACATAAGCGTTTAGACTTCCATCAATGTTAGACACAAGCACAAGTAGTGGGTGCTCAGCAGGCGACGTAGCTCTTGAGTACAGCCGGCCCAAATGTCATCAAGCTGGGTTCCAGGTTTACATTCTTTGGTAAATATATTATTATATTGTTGTATTTTGTTGGGTTTAGAGGATGTGATTTGTTTTAGGAAATACATGATTTAAAATAATGGATATATTTTCAATATAAATTGTTTTGTTTTAGACCAATGAAAAAGGTGAGTGATATTAGCTGCAGAATTGAAATGAATCATGCAAATAGCCAATCAGAATTAAGTAATGTTCCAATTACCATGCCAACATTAGTTTGCATAGGAAAGCAGCTCAAGGCTTGTATCTCTAGAACACTGAATACCATAAATAAACAGGCAGTCCTCGACTACATGCAATAAACAGGCAGTCCTTGACTACATGACATACAATATAATGGCAGTCCTTGACTAAATACAAAACTGCGATCACAGACATCCCTGCAAATCTCACACGTACAGGTTTTCAAACAAAGTAGTATTGTGAAATTTTTCTTCTTCACAATATCAGCAAGATGTCTGGAACAATGTCAGACAATGACTTTAAATTTAAATGCAGGACATTTTTTGTCATAAGTTTGACTTTCCAAGAATGTCAGATTTACTGAGTCTTAAAACATATTTTCTGAGTTAAGTCAACTGTAAGAATAGCTCTATTAAGGTAAAATTCTGTTTATTTTTACACACAAAATCAAAGCCTGGTCCAATTGTTAAAGTAATATGGCAGTGGTACAAAATGTATGAACTGACCATTAATCGTAATCTAAACCTGTATGTTGTGAGATGTACTTTGTTAATTATCATATGCAACAATGACAGACCTGGAGCATGCAGCCAGTATACAATAACATGAGAGTGCAACAAGCTAAGGTAACGAAACTGAAACAAAATAACCAAAGGTCAATCAAAACAACATACATCATAATATTATTACAGAGATTGTAAAAGTTTCAACCCTATCTTAGAGCAGTGAAATTCCCACTGTAGTAAACAAATACAAAAGTCTCCTTTAACCATTTCACCACTGTAGACCATAATGAACTCATCCAGATCAATACATGGTAGAGTCTACTTAAGTTAAAACGGGGTGAAATGATTCATTGTTTATAGAGTTTTAACAGTATTAACAAGGACAAGCTTTAATGAATAATATTTCTAATATTTGTTTATATCCATGAAATGAAAAAAGAACTTTTAACACTGTTTGTTAGCTTGATTGCCTAATGCTTTATTGTTTTAATTAACGGTGATATATTTATAAGGGTTCTCAAGGTCTGGACTAACTACGAAACGTTAAACAGCCTATTACAATGACAAACAGAAGTCATGTCTTCAAGTCATTTTATTAACCCATTTTATCTTTAAATCTTTATAAACTATATACTGACTACGCCCCCAGTGGCAATGCTAAGCTATTGTTGGGGACCTAATATGATATAAGAAGTAGATGAACCAGATTTAGTAATAAATCAATAAGCTGATATAAAAGCAAACTCAAGTATGAAGAAAGGAATGTATGCAAAAGCTATGAATAAAAGTATATTAATCATGATCAAATGTGCTTGTCACTTTATGATGTTTTGCCTTTTAGAGATATACAATGTGTATTTAATGATTAGTGTGATAGATTTTGATTTGATGGATGTCTATACACGTTAAGGTAAGGAAATGAAAACACGATAGCTCAGAACTTACTCACTGGATCAGACTATCAAATATTAGGCCAAATCTGTTAGGCCAATTTCAACAAAGCTTAACCTCTTTCCATAACTTACGACTGCTTGCTTAACCTGTTTATTACAAGTCTGATCACAATATCAATATACAACATAAATTTGACATAAAGACTTGTGTGGCAAACAGATGGGAAACATGTCTGAGACTCCAATATCTCACCTCAAAAACTACAAAGAATCTAATTACAGCATTAAAATATTCTTACTGTGAGATGTGGAGTCAATTGGTTTATCCACCTAAATAATGGGTCTGATTCCACTAGCTACTTTGTATGTAAAGCTATTTTTAATTGACTTAAATCGATTTTTGTAACAAATATTTGCTCAATTACCACTTCACCTCGTCTGTTATAATCTGATGGTACAGTAGACAAAGAACATAATCGACCCAAGGAATTGTCCACAAAAACAGCAGTCACACCCTAGTAATCTAGAGGTATTTGCTTTGTGTAACGAATACTCCGCTGAAACAAAGGATTGTTGAACTCTCACAGTAGGGTAGGTGGTGGCATGTGTATGGCCTAAATATAAAGGTTGCCAGTAACACTGTGCAATACTTCTAGCTGCTATGATGAAAGTGGTCAAGGCAGCCATGTAGTCAAATCAGTTTCCAATGCAAAATGAATGGAGAATGAAAGTAGCACCCTTTTACTCTCAAGGCAGAGCAACAAACAAGGACTTACGCTGAAGGAGTTAGACTTCTGTATGATTGAGGATTTCTTGTTTTTACGAGATGACAGGGGTGTAGAAGGGGGAATATCGTGAAAGTCCACACGATCCTCTTCCTACAATGAAAAAGACAAAAAGGAAAACCATACACAGCATGCAACATGCATTAGTACGTCTGATTGTATCCATTGAATACAGTCAATAACTGTCACTTTCTGGGGGTGTCGGATGATATATCAATCGAATATAAAGAATTAGACAATTGAAAAAACATTACTCAAGAAAGTTTTGAAGTGTTTGTTTAAAACAAATTTTCTTAATTTGTGTATAAAATATAGCATCTGATAAGAGGTTTCCTGATAGAAGCCTACCATCAAAAAGATCTACAGCAAGTACAGCTGCTTGTTTTATCAAAGGTGGTCTGAACATTTCAAGCACATTTCTACACACTGCAATATGTATAGCATTCCATTAAAGTTTTTAGACACATCTATTTTTCCGCCCAGGAGTTAGCCAGTCATTCATTGTACATACACAACAAGGGAAAGACATTAATAGAGAGCCATGTCACGACCAAGTCGGCCCCGACACCTCGCCAGCATCAGTAGCAGCACATACACTGGGCTGTACCAAATCGTGGCTTTAGGTGTACAGGGCCGATCAAAGCTTTACAACATCGTGTTCAACATCAAAAAGTAAAACAATGAAACCAAACAATAAAACAGTGATACTTCTATACACTCAAAAACACTTCCAATTTTTTAAAAGAAATTTATCTTTTTTCAGACTTGCATCTATTTTATGAATTTTTAATCATAATCTACACATGTACAGTTCTGACCAAATAAGAACCATAACTAGATGAAAATAGGAAAGTCTTGTATAGGGCTTCTAAAGAAAGTAAACAGATAAGATAGTAGATTATAATATTCTTTATGACCCGTGGTCAAATAGAACAAAATGGTATGCAGAAACAAGGCCACACACCAGAACATTTGTAGTGTGGGTTTGTTTCAGGTTGGTACTATTCAGTTTCAACCTTTACTTACAGAATGAATCAAATTCAACAGAAAGAAAAGGTTCAATGTCCCTGTTATGCTAGCCTGTTATTTACGAAATAGATATTACCAATACACTGCATAACAATGTCTTAAAATGATTTATTGCAACTGTAATTGTTGGGTGAAACTTTTATTGAAATCTAATTTGAACCCCACAATAACAAATTGGTATTCAACATTTGCCTTTTTTTGATAAAATATAAAATACAGAAAGGAAAAAAAACACCATTTTATTTCAAGCAGAATAGATTTTTTTCATTTCCAACTTGTTGAAATTTTGTACCAATTATATGCTTATGTTGGTATTTTCTTTTTGAAAATAAATTTTGTGGTGAGATTGATGTATATTGGTAGTATAGATTTCAATATAAGTATACGACAGTGGCTCGTATAAGGTCAGTAGGAAGGGTATGGAACAAGTAGACGGCATTTGATATTACCGTAATTATGGTAAAATAATAGCCCCGATTTTGTGTTAACAATATACCTGGATAATTCACGATAAATAACAATGAGATGAAACATCTGGGTATGTATATATAGATTATAATGATAGACAATCCTGTTGAATTAGATGATGAGGAGTTAATCAAGATTCTTAATAGAAGCTACAGTGGTTATATACACATTTCAAAAGCATTATCATTACCGTTTTTTATGATAGGGTTTTCTTTACAGTTTCAAAATATAATTAACTGCTGATGTAAAAAACTAATGATATTTCCCATTGGAGAAAAAACAAACAAACAAAAATGAAAAAAAGAGACGAAAAGTGAATATTAAGTTTTAAGGATCTGGTTCAACATTCTTTACAGTAAAGCATTTATAACACCGACAAGCTTATCGCAAAGCTGACTACAACACCAAATCACTATACAGAACCCTATTCACATCGATCCCAAAAGCACATCCTCATTCCCAAAGCTTCATTCCATCTACATCATTACTGATCTGATTCTCCCTCATCCACTAAAATACTTAGTAATTTTATATCTAATCTTTCTCAAAGATATTATAATGTAATGTGCCTATATTTTTCTTTAAAAGTCCATTAGTAACAGTTGCCAATTACTGAAAAATGTAGCAAATTATATCAATTCAATATCCACTAAATTAAAGTTTTGAGAATTTTTTTTATTATTATTATTTTTTTGCAAATCAATATGTTGTCAAGATTTCAAACAGAAATGTGTGTCTGGAATTAAAAATAATTTTATCCGATAGTTAGAGTGCAGTCAAGGTTGGAGAAGCCAAAACCAGGGTGCACAAGTAAACAATATTGATGGTNTATTGTCAAGATTTCAAACAGAAATGTGTCTGGAAGTAAAAATAATTTTATCGATAGTTAGAGTGCAGTCAAGATTGGAGAAGCCAAAACCAGGGTGCACAAGTAAACAATATTGATGGTAACAAAGTTGATAGTAATCACTCCATGCCCGGTGGAAGCACACACCAAAGTAAGCTTGGTAAGTATGTGATCAAACCATTAGTGGCTATTATCCCACCTTTGTGTGCAGTCTCAGAGCTTATTGTTAACATTAGTTCAAAACATGGAAGGAAAAATCATGGATTTATAGGAGTGATGTGTTATTTGTTTATTAATATCAGACGTGTTGGTTTTGTAATGTGACATAAGTTAACATCAACGTTTCCTAGTCTTAATGTTATATCAACTAACTTCAGAGTAACTAGCTTCAGAATACAAAACCAAAGGTTTGCTGGAGCCAAACCTGTAAATGGAGTTTTATAAATCAGTCAATTCTTAATTAGCCTCTATGACTAAGAGAGCTCCGACCATCCACCTACCTGTTCTTGAGATTCTGTAAGCATCTGCTGCTGTTGTTTGTCCTTTTTCTTTTCAGACTTTTCCTTTTCTTTGGTGCTCTGTCCATCCTTGCTATCCTTCATAGTGGGCTGGACCTGGGAGAGCAGCACAATCGATTTAAAAGCCTGTGCATGATCGTATCATAGTGACTTAATACTTTGTAAATGATCACAACACAGTGATTTAACAGTTGGTATATGATCGCAATGATAATAACATTGTGATTTAACAATTTGTGTATGATCAGAAAACAGAAAAGTTAGTTAACAGTTTGTGCATGATCACAAATTTGAGATTTGCATGTTTACGATCACAATAACGTGATTTTACATTTTTTTTAAATTATCATAACATTGTTAATCACCCCAAAATGATTTAACATTGTGTGTATGACCACAATACTGTGATTTATTCAGTATGCTATTGTAGTATTGTTATTTAAGTGTTGGAAGCCAGATCCTGTGATCACCTGTGCCACACTCTGTTGTCCTGTTGTGTTGTTGGTGGTACCGGTCACCAGCGTGCCGGAACTGGACGTCGACTGACTGCTTGTGCTATGGGTATCATAGGGTTTAGAGGGCACCGCCTGTGTGATGAAGAAGTGGCGCTGGGCATGAACTGGCGTGCTCGGGACATTCGGAATCGTCAGTGGGATAGTGGGATACCTTGTCTGCACTATCTTCTGGCACGCTGAAACAGTAACACAATTGTAGAGCTTTGAGCTTTGAGAGCTAAAATTTTACTTATATTTCCCGAGATTTTCTGTAAATCTGTGATACTGTTTTTACAGAATATCACTAGAACTGTAGGAGGACTATGCCTGAGCTTTGATTGTAACAGACCAATACCATTCACAATGAGAAATAAATTGCATAGTTTGCAACTGCTTTGTGTACAGATAAAGTATACAATTTTCATTGAAATATAACAGGTACTAAGTTCAAAAAGGTCAAGGTTTTATAAGAATCTGATCAGCTATCTGGACATGGATACTGGTGCTGTCAAGGTTTTATAAGAATCTGATCAGCTATCTGGACATGGATACTGGTGCTGTCCTGGTTTTATAAGAATCTGATCAGCTATCTGGACATGGATACTGATGCTGTCAAGGTTTTATAAGAATCTGATCAGCTATCTGGACATGGATACTGATGCTGTCAAGGTTTTATAAGAATCTGATCAGCTATCTGGACATGGATACTGATGCTGTCAAGGTTTTATAAGAATCTGATCAGCTATCTGGACATGGATACTGATGCTGTCAAGGTTTTATAAGAATCTGATCAGCTATCTGGACATGGATACTGATGCTGTCAAGGTTTTATAAGAATCTGATCAGCTATCTGGACATGGATACTGATGCTGTCAAGGTTTTATAAGAATCTGATCAGCTATCTGGACATGGATACTGATGCTGTCAAGGTTTTATAAGAATCTGATCAGCTATCTGGACATGGATACTGATGCTGTCAAGGTTTTATAAGAATCTGATCAGCTATCTGGACATGGATACTGATGCTGTCAAGGTTTTATAAGAATCTGATCAGCTATCTGGACATGGATACTGATGCTGTCAAGGTTTTATAAGAATCTGATCAGCTATCTGGACATGGATACTGATGCTGTCAAGGTTTTATAAGAATCTGATCAGCTATCTGGACATGGATACTGATGCTGTCAAGGTTTTATAAGAATCTGATCAGCTATCTGGACATGGATACTGATGCTGTCAAGGTTTTATAAGAATCTGATCAGCTATCTGGACATGGATACTGATGCTGTCAAGGTTTTATAAGAATCTGATCAGCTATCTGGACATGGATACTGATGCTGTCAAGGTTTTATAAGAATCTGATCAGCTATCTGGACATGGATACTGATGCTGTCAAGGTTTTATAAGAATCTGATCAGCTATCTGGACATGGATACTGATGCTGTCAAGGTTTTATAAGAATCTGATCAGCTATCTGGACATGGATACTGATGCTGTCAAGGTTTTATAAGAATCTGATCAGCTATCTGGACATGGATACTGATGCTGTCAAGGTTTTATAAGAATCTGATCAGCTATCTGGACATGGATACTGATGCTGTCAAGGTTTTATAAGAATCTGATCAGCTATCTGGACATGGATACTGATGCTGTCAAGGTTTTATAAGAATCTGATCAGCTATCTGGACATGGATACTGATGCTGTCAAGGTTTTATAAGAATCTGATCAGCTATCTGGACATGGATACTGATGCTGTCAAGGTTTTATAAGAATCTGATCAGCTATCTGGACATTGATACTGATGCTGTCAAGGTTTTATAAGAATCTGATCAGCTATCTGGACATGGATACTGGTGCTGTCCAGGTTTTATAAGAATCTGATCAGCTATCTGGACATGGTTACTGGTGCTGTCCAGGTTTTATAAGAATCTGATCAGCTATCTGGACATGGATACTGGTGCTGTCAAGGTTTTATAAGAATCTGATCAGCCATCTGGACATGGATACTGATGCTGAATCGTTATAAACGATGTAGCATATTATAATTAAGATGTTCTTGTGCTATCCTTGACAATTTTATTGCACCTATAACTGTTATTTTTCAATTTATGTTTGGTGAACATGTCTTGACTAGTTCACCAATTTGACAAGGACTTGAAATTTTCAAAAAAAAAATCATTTGTTTTAATACACAAGTGTTATGCTCTGCATTCATAACTGCTAAAGTCGCTATACTTGAGCAACTAATGTAACAGTACTAGATAAACACAGTGACGACTTCAGGGTATTTTCGTATTACTTGGAATGTGGCAATTCCTCCAAGAGAAACATTTTCGAGAAATCAATGTAAGGAAAAGAATTAATACCATCCTGAAACACTCGTTCCACATTGAGTCCATAGGTGGCACAGGTTTCGTAGTATGAGGACCGTTTGAGATCGTTAGCAAGTTTTCTGGCTCTCGTATCATCGATCACCCGCGGATTGCTTTCGCTAATAGAATCTGTAAGTAAAATAAAATATTTTTATATAATCATGATTTCTATTTAAAAGACACCAGGTCATTGACAGCAAGAAAAAATGTGCTGCTCCTTTACTAGGGAAAAGTGAATTGTTTAAAATAACTAAAGGAAATGCAAAAAAAAAATATTGATCTTTTCCTTTCTATTTTAAAGTATTAATTAAGTTACCACAATACTTTGTTTAGAGTACAGCAGATAGAATGGTTCAGTTGCATACTTATCAAGGTTAAGGAATTTTCTGTGTCTATCTCATGAACATAATATTGTTGAAGTTAAAATATAAAGTCCAAAAAAAACCATTGCTGCATCTTAGATTCAAATCACTTCATAATTGAAGATAATACAAGCACTTATTCCGACAAAAGCAACAGAGAGGGAGGTCTGGAAAAAATCAGTTCAGCTGTATAGAATAATCTGGGTTTTTTTCATTAGATGATTCAGAAGAAAATTTACAGAGTTATCCACTCCTTGTATTTTCCCAGGTGCCAATTCTCCTGACCTAAATGTTGGTTTTATCAAGGCAGAATCCTGGTACTTGGCAACTTGTACATAGTAGATCAGTGAAGACAAATAAATGATAAACCTATAATGCGGAAACAGTTATAAAACCCTGATAACCAGGAAGCCTCTTCTGTCCAATACCTGTCACAGAGTATGTGTTATGTTACCCTTACCACAACTCTCACCTCTTGGCAAAGGGGCCAAGTATATTAATTAATTTCAATTTTAAATCCCCCATCATGTGTCAAACATTCAACATCTGATTGAATTTACAAAATACAAACCTTGTTCATGTTTAAATAATACAGGTTTTACATTCAAATTTCAGCTGGATATTAACATGATCAATGCAAAATACATAGAGGGTCAAAGACACCTGAAATCTAGTATGTGTACCTGGAATCAAGGATACCTGAAGTCTGGTAAGGGTATTTCAGGGCCAAGGATACCTTAACTCTGGTAAGGGTATTTCAGGGTCAAGGATACCTGAAGTCTGGTAAGGGTATTTCAGGGCCAAGGATACCTTAACTCTGTTAAGGGTATTTCAGGGCCAAGGATACCTGAAGTCTGGTAAGGGTATTCAGGGTCAAGGATACCTGAAGTCTGGTAAGGGTATTCAGGGTCAAGGATACCTGCACTCTGGTAAGGGTATTCAGGGTCAAGGTTACCTGAACTCTGGTAAGGGAACTCTGGTAAGGGGTTTTCTTGGTCAAGGATACCTGAAGTCTGGTAAGGGTATTCAGGGTCAAGGATACCTGAAGTCTGGTAAGGGTATTCAGGGTCAAGGATACCTGAGGTCTGGTAAGGGTATTCAGGGTCAAGGATACATGAACTCTGGTAAGGGTATTCAGGGTCAAGGATACATGAACTCTGGCAAGGGTATTCAGGGTCAAGGATACCTAAAGTCTGGTAAGGGAACTCTGGTAAGGGTATTCTGGGTCAAGGATACCTGAGTCTGGTAAGCGTATTCAGGGTCAAGGATTCCTAAAGTCTGGTAAGCGAACTCTGGTAAGGGGTTTTCTTGGTCAAGGATACCTGAAGTCCGGTAAGGGAACTCTGGTAAGGGTATTCTGGGTCAAGGATACCTTAACTCTGGTAAGGGTATTCAGGGTCAAGGATACCTGAAGTCCGGTAAGGGAACTCTGGTAAGGGTATTCTGGGTCAAGGATACCTGAGTCTGGTAAGTGTATTCAGGGTCAAGGATACCTGAAGTCTGGTAAGGGTATTCAGGGTCAAGGATACCTGCACTCTGGTAAGGGTATTAAGGGTCAAGGATACCTGAAGTCTGGTAAGGGTATTCAGGGTCAAGGATACCTGCACTCTCGTAAGGGTATTCAGGGTCAAGGATACCTGAAGTCTGGTAAGGGAACTCTGGTAAGGGTATTCTGGGTCAAGGAGACCTGAAGTCTGGTAAGGGTATTCAGGGTCAAGGATACCTGAAGTCTTGTAAGGGTATTCAGGGTCAAGGATACCTGCACTCTCGTAAGGGTATTCAGGGTCAAGGATACCTGCACTCTCGTAAGGGTATTCAGGGTCAAGGATACCTGAAGTCTTGTAAGGGTATTCAGGGTCAAGGATACCTGAACTCTGGTAAGGGAACTCTGGTAAGGGTATTCTGGGTCAAGGAGACCTGAAGTCTGGTAAGGGTATTCAGGGCCAAGGATACCTGAAGTCTGGTAAGGGTATCCAGGGTCAAGGTTACCTGAAGTCTGGTAAGGGGATCCAGGGTCAAGGTTACCTGAAGTCTGGTAAGGGGATCCAGGGTCAAGGTTACCTGAAGTCTGGTAAGGGAATTCAGGGTCAAGGATACCTGCACTCTCGTAAGGGTATTCAGGGTCAAGGATACCTGAAGTCTAGTAAGGGTATTCAGGGTCAAGGTTACCTGAAGTCTGGTAAGGGTATCCAGGTTCAAGGTTACCTGAAGTCTGGTAAGGGTATTCAGGGTCAAGGATACCTAAACTCTGGTAAGGGTATTCAGGGTCAAGGATACCTGAACTCTGGTAAGGGTATTCAGGGTCAAGGAAAACTGAGCTTTGGTTAGTATATTCAAGGTAAAGGCCACTTAAACAGTGGTAAAGTGTATTCAGGGTCACGAATATCTGAATGTGGTGAGTGTCTTTTGGTTTCAGAATATATCAATCTAAGCTAATTGTCTTTAGAGCAAGATCTGCAAAAATAAAAAATAAAATTTGGACATGCCTGACAGATGACCAATGACAAGATTTGAGGGTCACAAACTGATAAAGCTTCTTAAATTCTTTTATCACTTTTTATCTTAATTTTAAAGACAGCGCATATAGCAACCAAAGAGTAGATAAAAGGACATAGTTTGACAAAATGAAGTAACTCGGTTTGTTCTTGAACTTTCCAATACACTAATGCTGTGGTAACCAACACACATTGTGGATATTTTGTAGTAAGTTTGGGACCATTTAGGAGATTTTATGGGAGATTTCATACTGCCAGTTTTTTGCAGAAAGTTTGGGAATATTCTTTTAAAGATTTAATGACTGTCTTTTAGTTCCCTCCTTAACATTCCAGTGGCAGCAGTCATCAAAATCAGGGAATATTTACTGTATTACTCAATATCCACATGTTACAAGCCTACTCTATACAGTTATCAGTATCTACCACACTTTCCAAAGCCCACTACTGCCAAAAAAACCACTTTTTCCTTCCCTGAAGATATAAAATACAGCTAATTGAAACCAAACACTTCAGATGCCATGCTTGTGTATTTTGGAAAATACTTTAAAAATGAATTAAAAAAATAAAATCAATTATTCAGTTGCAATAGTGTTATTGTGTGTGTAAAACAGTACAGTGAGGAATGCCAGAGTACACTACTCTACAGCTAACCTGAATTCTACAGATAACCCAATGAATCATATGACTAACATCTCAAAATAGAATCAAATGCAAGATTTAAACATATTTCTTGTTAACAATCGAGTATTTCAATCTCAATTTGATTAAAAGTGAAATATCACACAAACACAATCAGCTTACCCGACAGATCTCGACACTTAAATTGTGTAAAATCCAGACTTGATTGGTTTACAATATGTCCATGTTATTGGAATGTTTCTCTGTAGCCATATCCCCACTGAAACATCAGCACACCGCCAAACTCGGACAGATGAAAACTTCATTTTAAGAGATTAGCCGACTGATAAGTGTGGGTTGTACTTGGGATAAAATTGTCCTACTGTGCCAGTGCAGGCAGCTGCAGGACAGTAAGAAATACTTTTTACCTCTCACACAAATTGTTGAATTTTCTAGCTTTGGCTAATTTCTATCAAAGTGGGTTAAAATGATTATTGGCCTACAAGCTAATTTGGATTCTCCTGTGTGTAGATATTGGATACTTGAATTTGCTATGAACCGTAGCAGGGAAGCCACCTTTAGTTAGGGTATCTCTACCACGAGCCAGTGACTGTGAAGTAGTATACAAACACATCCATGATTTAACCCTCCTACAAAGCAATCCAATGTTTTCACAAAACAAATGTTTTATTTATGACTAAAGCTATCCTTATGATTCATGTGGGAAAATGATTTTTTTAATATTACAAGAAGTGAATAAAATATTCAATTGAGTTTCTAAATTTTCAAGCTAAAACAATTTGAAAAAGTGAAAAAATTCAAATGCAGAATCTGTTAATATAATCTATAATCTAGTATAAACTTTAATCTCATGACCTATAATCTGTGTTTGGGAACTATCACTGATTTCAATACTCAATGGCTTTCTTTACATGAGATTATCATACCTAAAACAGTACACAAAAAAACCTGGAAAATATCAACCAAAACTGTTCAGGGTGGCCTTATTCAACTTCATAATATTAACCCAAACTGTATAGGGAGGCCATCTTCACCTTCATCAAGTGTAAGTGACAGTGGTGTCTTTTCTGTTAGACCATTTAAGCACAAGGCAGGATGGTGTTTTTTTTCTCTCTTCTGTTAATCATATATTAACTATTGAAGTGTACATAACAATGATGTTCTTTCTGCTAAACTGTAACAGGAGAAGAGAAATGCATGGCCAGACCAGGATTCAAACCTGGGACCCTCCAAATTTTACACGAATGCTCTACCAATTTAGCTACCTGGTCGCCGCTAATCGACCCAGTCTAATTCCTCTACATTCCTCCCTCCTTTTTAAAAAAAATCTTTGCCCCCTAAGACACAACTACTTACAACCAAGGTTCTGGTATCCCCTTGCCAAGCATTCGCCCACTGCATGAAACAAGGGTTGGCAGGCTTGCAAATTTTGTAACGGGAAAGGAAAGAAAAATGTACAGCCAGACTGGGATTCAAACCCAGACCCTCCGAACTCCAGACAGATGCTCTACCAACTTAGCTACATCAACCCAGTCCAGTTCCGCTACACAACATTTAAGTGTAATAAAAGATGGTGTCTTTTCTTTTACAGCATTATAGTGTATAGCAAGTATGTAATTTCTATTATAGTATCACAGTGTATGGAACAATGGTGTCCTTTCAGTTACAGCATTAATGTGCGACTGAGTGACAAGGGTGTCTTTATTGTAACTGTATGTGAAGATGGTGCACTTTCTGTTAAACCTATTCAGCATACGGGAGGGTGTTTTATTCTTCTTCTGTTACAGCACTTCAGTGTATGGGTTAATGGTGTGTCCTTGGTGAGACCACTGCTTGCGAACCAATAACCCTAAAATTGAGAAATCTGAAGACACAGATGTTCTTGAAACTTGGAAACCCTAGCAGGTACATGCACTAACCTTTTAAGAACTCGTCAAGACAAGAATGAATTTACCTGCTTTGTAACTTGTTAAGTGTACTGGTTCCTAAATACCCTGTTGACACTTACCTTGTGTGCCGACCAGGATGAGAGGGACCTCGGCAGCGTTTCGGTAGTGGGCCATCTTGGCGTAGTATGAATACACTGTGTGGAAACTGATCTCATTCTCCAGACTGAACACAAATATGACTGCATCCACCCATTGTGTAAACTGTCGATCACAAACACAAAACCATCAGTATATATGTACAGGGTGACACCTTTACTATAATATTAGTGCATATAAGAATGGACCTAACAAGAGATACATCAGCCGGGAGTTTTATCAGGTACAGAAGATTTAAGCTTTTTGCAAAGGTATCTCTCCAACTGCTATTTATTTTGTTTCACATAAAAACATATACATAACACTAAGGTTGATGCAGACAATTAATGCTTTCACCAAGGGTTACCGTAAAAATAAAAAAGATCTATACAATTGTTCGAAAACATTTCTTTAGAGATCTGACACGGGCTGTGGTTGAAGGAGCCCTTACCAGTGATAGGAATTGTATCTTTAATAGGTAAATTTGATGGGGATTGAATCTTGGATAGGAAAATTTAAGTTCAGGGGAAACTGTTGAAATGTGAAAAGAATGTGTTACACATGATCATCTTACCTGCATTTCTGGGGCGCCCCCTTCATCTCTTATCAGGAGGAGATAACTCTGACCATCTATGATGACTTCCTTTTTGAAGCGACCACCTGCAGCACAGAAAGATTTATTAAAGTATATATCAGGCCATTATCAGGTGTAGCTAGCTGTATCAATTAGAGCATCTTAACCCTAACAGGTGCTTTGTCAGTCATGGACAGGTGGCCAGACTCATCCATACACCTACCACCCATTTGTGTCAAATTTACACATACATAAGTGGCTGATACATCTAAACCAGATATTTACACTCATAAACATTACTTAACTAGCAAACTTAAGTGAAGAATTAGTTTTATTGAATATCTCATTTAGATAAACATTTATTAGGTTTAAAACAAGTGGAAAAGAACTCTACAGGAGTCAGGGTTATGAAGGCATTAAAATAAGTGTAGGTTTTGTAAGCACAGTAGTGTAAACATGTTAAACATTGTGATACCATTTATACAATACAGCACACAGTGTTGTCAATTACATAAACCTGGTACACAAAGTTTTTAAAAACCAATAGGAAAGTAGTAATTGTTCTCTACATCGGAGAATTCCAGATGTAACACTATTAGCCTAACATTCCAATCCTGTCTGCCTTCCTTCCCCTCTAGACACTTGGCACACTATCAATACATGAACTCATCGTGTCATTAAATTTCAAAAGGAGAAGTTAAGTTTACATCCTTATCTAGCAATTACTTTCTTTTATCAAGATGTTACACCACTGCCAAAAAAGTGTGGTGAAAATATTAACTAAACCATATCTTAATCATATAGCCTTTCAAAAGAGTTCTTGTACTTGTGATCTAGCAGTAATTTGTTTTGTTCATCAACAATCTGTAACTGTTAGATAAAGGTTTAGGATTTGTTACAGTGTTTGCTAGTTATCAGACAGAACACAGATTGACGCGCTCACTGTACCATCACATATGTACGCCACCAACAGAACTGTTTCCTTACCGCGAACACAGTTCATTTTTCACCTATCAGAGCATCTCGTGCCATGAATGTTCTACAATTCAAGTTATATGAAGTTAATAGTCTTGAAATTCTTGGCACTTTACCTTTTTGAACATTTGTTTTTTTACAATACTGAGCATGTTTCTGCGTGTGTATAGTGCCGATAGATATGAACCTGAAACGTGTGGTGGCCTTCAACTATGACCTTGACTACTGCATGGCAACTGTGCAGCTTCAGTAACAAATTTACAGTGAGCCCCATCAATGTCCACGGCGATACAATAAAGTCCTGTAACTATGTCAATCAAACTCACTCCTCTGAGGTTACTGCACTATACGTGTGTTTGAAGGCCAACATATCAAATAAACAATTTCTGTTTTATTATGAAATGTTCCAATCTACATGTACATGTAGTTTTGCCCAAATGTTACCAAAAGTACATCACTTTGATAATGAGCCTTATTTCAAAATAGATTTATGGTGAATCTATCAGACGAGAAGTACTTAAGTCATTGTTACATCCAATGAGGTTTTCCCTCTTAAGTCCTGTTGATTTGCCCAATTTTGTAACACCCCATGTGATTGGCTTATTTTGAAGGAACCAAACAAGAGTTAAATATTGATCTGCCATGTTCTGGTCTATAAAGCCTACTAATTATACCTACTGGGTCGGGGTTGGCACTCTAATACACTGAATTTAGATCCCAATAATCTATTGGGCACAAAAGATTCATGATGTGTAGGGTAAATGTTCCCTCGACATATAAATAATGCATGGCATTCAAATCTATTTGATTCGGACCTGTTTTTTCCTCTAAACTACAGTCTATGATTATGTAAATCTTTGATTGACTCTGTATTGACATTTGGTTTTGTTTTTATAAAATATTTTACATTTTTAGGTACAGATCTAAAAGATTTTTGTAAATGTTAGTTACTAAAGAAAAAAACTTGGGACTTTTATATCTAATGTAGGTACATGTAGTATGTACATGGAAAATGAAATGCAAGTAGATCTGCATTAACTATCAAAAGTTATACAGCTATATAGCTATACACACATAGATGTTCTCAACTGGATAAAATACTGTCATAGAGGCTAGACAACCAGACATAGATATTTTCCAAAATATGTATATATTCTAGATTAAATATACAAGTACAAGGAAAACGAAACACAAAATACAAAATATTTTCTAGGAAAACTGTGATGTGTCCATCATTTAGTCATAGATTCATATTGGGCCAGGATCTATCTAAATATCCGAGTAAATATAGCAAGATACTTAATTTTTCCCTACTGAACATGTGCTATCTACATTTTTGACAGTGCTATATCTAATTCTATCCAAACCTCATGTCTCTGTCGGGACTTTTGGCTGTATGATATACAATGAAGCACATTTTGAAAGAGATCGGAACAAATAACAGTAGAGAGAATCAATCCTCCCTGTAGACAAAGAAATGGTATTTATAACACACATGCTTAGCTGTTCCTTTTTTAAACAGGGTTTACTTTTAAGGTAGACTTTCTCTTAAGAAATGTGGCATTTTTATTTTTCGATAGAGGAAAAATTAAAACCTACCCTCTGGAGACTCCTCCTGCATGTAGGATCCTGTAAGGTAACGATGGACTAAGGCTGACTTGCCGCTGTGGACACTTCCCAGGATACCCTGAAAAACATGTATATCCTCTAACTAAAGTCTTAGAAAATTTACAAAGGACACTTCGAGGATACCCTGAAAAAACATTTGTACTCTCTAACCAAAGTCTCAGAAAACTTACAAAGGACACTTCCCAGGATACCCCGAAAAACATGTATATCCTCTAACTAAAGTCTTAGAAAACTTACAAAGGACACTTTCCAGGATACCCTGAAAAACATGTATATTCTCTAACTTAAGTCTTAGAAAACTTACAAAGGACACTTCAAGGATACCCTGAACAAATATTTGTACTCTCTAACCACAGTCTCAGAAAACTTAAAAAGGACACTTCCCATCATAACCTGGAAAATGTGTATATCCTCTAACTAAAGTCTTAGAAAACTTACAAAGGACACTTTCCAGGATACCCTGAAAAACATGTATATTCTCTAACTTAAGTCTTAGAAAACTTACAAAGGACACTTCAAGGATACCCTGAAAAAATATTTGTACTCTCTAACCAAAGTCTCAGAAAACTTACAAAGGACACTTACCAGGATCCCAGCAGAATATATGCAATCTCAAACCAAAATCTCAAAAGCTTTCACGAAACTTGAACCAAAACTATGAAAAACACATAACCTTAAAAGCATCCTCTAGAAAAATATCTTCAAATTCACTGAAATGCATGAAAATTGAGAAATGCAAGATATTTCATTCTTTAGCATGTTTTATAGAAAACTTTCAACTGTAATTGCTACAAACAAACTAAAGCCTTAAAGACTCTTATTCATCTGATGTGGTTCCAAAGTATTTTAAATTGACAATTGTAGTGTAAACAGTTCAATTGACAAATATTTCCAATTGCTGTAGTGGGATTGTCTATAATTATTTAAGTAGACTTACCAGCTTGAGGTCGGGTACAGATCGGCTGAGCGTCCATTCTTGACTGTTTACAAAGGAATCTGCAAGACATAAGGATAAGCAATACATTAATGTTTGTCTATATATAGAGATGATAAACAACGGTAAGCATGGTCTTTGTAGCCGCAGCACCAGACAGATCCTGGAGAGTTTGTCTCCAGTTGGGTCCTAAAGAATCATAGCACAGAAAGAGTTACCTAAGAAATCTTACCACAAAACTTAGTCACCAAAGAAATAGGTCAGAATTAGGTCAACACAGGTATGAGGTCAGTCTGGAAGTAGGTCAGTGCTGAACCCAACTCAGCATAGAACTACATGTACAGCAACAAAGTAAGGAGGTCACGAGGAGGCTGCAGTTGTAAAGAAGACTTATTTAAGCCCATGGACTAATTTCAGCTTATTTTCAGCAAAATTAAAATTCCAATGGGCCACTGTGTGAAACTAGGCCAACACTGAACTAGGTTGACACAGAACTGAGGTCAGTCGTATGTAATTTACCAAGTTAGTTTAGAAATGATGGGTTAGCACATACATGTGCATGTGCTCATCATCATACTAGGCCAGTGCAAAACTAGGTCAGTACAGAATTAGGTTAGCTAGTAATTGTTCAGCCAGAAACTGTTCCTAAACCTCTTTTTGCCATATGAACAGATGCATCTCATTGTGTCATAGTATTAAATGTTTTTTTAAACATACATATAAAATGAAATACTGGACTCTTAACTGTTATCACTTTCATTCTGACTAACAAAAATCTTTTGATCTTTTTAACAAAACTTGAATAACCTGGATAAGATATGTTTTTTCTCTGGACTGGAAGATAGTTTAGACAATTTACTCAGTAAATTACAAAGGTAATAAGGTAAAGATTCATCTTGTATTTGATGGTATGTGTGTGCACTCTTCAGCATGCGAGTGCTAACTGACTACCTACAGCAGTCCTAATACTGGGCAGTTAACAATACATATTGTTTGATGTCCATGTGTACCTTTGCTAACACACACATCTGTGGCTAGCTACACAGCGGCAGATCGCTCTCAGCTTGTTCTGAGCTGTTTGATCTCTTCGTTATTTTAGAAGGTCAGGAAAAAGCTTCTTTACTTCAAGAGGTTTCAAGATGAACTCACTACAAAAGCTCTCAGGATGATGCCTTCATGATCAACTGTTCGTGTGTTATTATCACTTACATGCTTGAATTAAATGCATACTTTGATCAGAGTTCTTTACTTTATCTTTAGTACTGACATTACAGGGTCTATTGTGTACCACTAGACACACATTACAGCCATCTTCACAGCCTCGATAATGACCATCCAAACACTACTTACAGAGTTAGCTTCTATGATCACTACCCAACCATCACTCACTTCTTACTTACATAACACAAGGATAAGGAAACTTTGGTATGCTGTACATTTTATGTACATGGCCAGGTATTTCTTGTATCTCTCAATAAATGAAATAATGTACTCCTGCATGGGTTCAACACCTGGTGTCAGAGACAACTTTTGTCAGACCTGCATGAACACAGGGTCTTTGGATAAATACTGTGATTTTTCTTGTTAACATGTTAAAGAAAACCAAAATAACAAGCAGTTGGAGAGATAATTACAGGAATTTGTTTTAATACTTCAGGTTTTTTTTAAAGCTGCAAACTATAGTAAGAGGAAACTAGGGATAGTTTTATTGGCTAAGTGAGAGTATATATACTGCTCAAGTCCAAGTCCAGATGCCCTATAGAAATTGCACATCCTGTGTAGGTACTGTCTAATTCTATTAGCTCAATCATGTTTACACACATCATCAACAACAGTTAGTTCAGACCTACTGATTTAGTGCCAAAGCACTTTTTATAAACATGCATGTATTCAACCATTTATATTTAGCAGCTATCCTAATATAGTACTTAATGCTAGAAGAATTAGTGCAAAGGCACTAAAAAGTTAACACTGCTAAAACAAGATCTGCCCAATAAAATGATATTGTTTATCGTATTTCGATAAAAAGATACAATTTCAAGCAAACTGTGGTGTTTTCCTTTTAATGATAAACACTATATATATCTGCATCACTTATACAGATAGAAATATAACAATCATACATACTTACATGAGCGTCGTTTTGGTAAAAGTGAGCTATCTGTACGTGTCCTGCGATAGGGCAGTGATAGCCGCTTTAGTGTACTCAGCATTTTACTGACTCCTCGCCAAACTCCTGTGCATTCTCACATACACTATATCTGTACAGTTTTTCCAGTGTCATTCATCAAAATCCACCAATTACTAATCAACTTTCTCAAAATCAAATCTTATC